AAACAAATAATTATTTTTAGGTGGGTAGTAATATATTTTTATAATTTGGAGCATTTCAAACTTATGAATATAGTATATATAAATTTATTTAATCAATGTTGATATTGTTTGATATTGAAATGGTATTAGGGTTTATACGGTGTTCTCTTTACCAAGATGCTGGCTACATGCCAGTCTAACATATATATATATATATATATATATATATATATAACACATATATAATATGGATTAGAAATTAAAAAAATTAGAAAAGTACAACTTTAGTATCTATAATTTTTTATTACTGATTACGAAAAATTAAGAGGTAGCTATTCCTAATTTTATTAAATCGACAGTCTATTTTTGGTTTCAATTATTTTTGGTATTCTAAGCTCTGATGTAATATATTTAACTTCAATACGAATTTATTATATACGACATATACTAAAGCATATAGTTTTTAAACTTCCCTAAGGAGTTTGTTTTAGTCTACTTTTCAAATCATTCAGGATCATTTGATACCAACATTTGATCCGATTCATAAATTTAAAACCACGATTAACACATAAGGATTCGTGTTGATTAGTTCTACGTGACCGAAGCGTTTCTTCAGAATTAGATAAAAGGGAAAGTTCTAGGAAAGTTCATTAACTTCCTTAAGGCAAATGCCTTCACCTCGTAAATTTGATTTAATATCGTTTCCATTACTTACTATGATTGCACAATCGCCCAAGTATCCTTTATCACATTTGCAAGTGTTGTCGGGCTGGCACGTTCCATGTCCACAACGCTGGCAAGCACTGCGCGACTGGACTCTCCAGCTTTTTATTTGACAGTGATCACCACTGTAACCCGGCAAACATCGGCATTTATTTACATCCCTGCATTTTCCACCATTTAGGCATGGTATTACACATTTGGCTAAAATATTAAATTAGTAGAATACGTGATTCAATTCAAAGATCCAGAATTTTTCTTATTTAGCCTTCCAGAATCTGGTGTATCAAAAGTTGAGCAACTATATAATTTGGATAAGCTTGAAGATCATCAGAATGTTATAGTTGCAATACTTCTTAAGACACCTGATTTTAGAAAATCATCTCGAAAATCCTAATAAGTAATATTGGAGCCTCATACACTTTTCACTACAACACATTCTAAATTTCAACATTTAACTTGGAGACCTGTAGCTGTATTGGCAATGAAACTTTATACCATACCATTCTTTCTACTCGAGCATATTTAATCTATAAACTTAAATTAATGATAAAGTACGATTTGATGTCCAAATTTACTTACAAAATTCACAGCGTAGGCCATGATATCCTTTAGAGCATTCACATTTGTCCTTCTGAATGCATTTTCCACCATTCAAGCATTTTTCTGTGCAAATACCTATAAACATTAAAAATAATTCAATTATACTTGATTAACTTTCAATAATTCAAAATAATTTTGAACTTAAAGAATTTTAATAAAAGTGTAAAAGTTCTAAAACTTTCTAATAATAGATGATTGAATAGATAAACATTTTTTATTTTTCCAGATTTAAATATGTGGGCTAAACCCAGATATTTCCCGAACGTACGATTACTTGGATATAGATTTGAATCAACAACAAATTCTGGAACGCCCAAGGAGATATTAGATAAAATAATAAGAGTCGATCATGCTGGAGAATTAGGCGCTGATAGAATTTATGCTGGACAAATGGCTATTTTAGGTACATTTTCATATTTAAGATTTTTATTACAAAAAGATTTTAACAAAAATGTATCTATTAGGAAAAACCCCAGTTGGACCATTAATTCAACATATTGTGGGATCAAGAAAAAGGACACAGAGCTGAATTTGAAGATCTGATAAGAAAACATCGATACGACCTACTGTGATGACTCCATTGTGAATGTTGCTGGGTGTTTATGTTAGGGGCGGTGAGCATTACAAGAACATCTTTATACCAATTAACAATATAAAAAATATACTGAGGATATTTGTTTCTCTATATATTTTAAAGGCACGGCGTTGTGTTGGGCGAGAAAGCAGCAATGGCCTGCACAGTTTGCTGTAGAAACTGTTATCGTTGATCACTACAACGACCAATTACGTACTTTGATGGAAGATCCAGAAACAAATGAGGTTGAAAACCAATAGCTGTTTTATGAAATATAATTATTACTATTCTGTATATATTTTTTATGCAAATTGATCTTTGACCTTAATACAGGAGTTGCTCAAAACTATCAAAAATTCCGAGATGAAGAACAAGAACATCATGATACTGGTATAGATCATGGCGCTGAGCAGGCAATATTTTAAAAGGCTTAACTGAAGTTATCAAAGTCGGGTGTAAAACAGCGATAGCTATTTCAAAAGTAGTATAATGTAGTAAACTAAAGTAGTATAAAGTGATATAATGAAATAACAATAAATATAGTTTTGTATTACAGATATTTTATATTGAATTTAATAAAAACGTTCAGTATAATAACTTGTCTTATATAAGCTAACTTACTAATTAGCCATTATGTGATCAGACTCAAAAGCAAGAGCTATGTTTTGCCATGTAAAGTTATGTTTTGTGTTAACATAGTGATTGCTATAAATAGTAATTAATTAAGTTAAAGTGAATAATAAAGTAGAATCCTCATCAGAAATGATCTCATTTGGAATATACTACAAAAATAATTGGAAAAATCAATTATATGATCATTCCATATTGCTTTGCCAACTTTTGGAGCAAACGATTTGTAAATTCTACTGGTAAGCAAAGAGTAAGAGTGTACCTTTTCTTATTAATTATTCTGGCAATATGTTAATTTAACAAATAATGGTACTATGTAACTATTAACTAAAACTCCCATAAAAATTGTAAAGAAAATAAATGAAGAACCTGCTCACCGCCTTCACAATGTCTTCCTTGATATCCCGGTGGGCAGCTGCACAAACCAGGAGCGGAGCAGTTTTCCACCATTCATGCACTGAGGGTAACAAAGAGCTATCTGGCAGTGTTGCCCCATATAACCTTCTGGGCACTGACATATTTTCTCACTATTGCACCAACCTTGATTAGCGCATTTTCTGTTGCATTCAGGATCTGGTCCTAGTGATAAATGAAATATTTTACTATTTAATAAAATTAGAACTGTATGGTTGATTATTATTTTCATTGATGTGATGCTTATATATGCCTATATAAAGAGAGAGTTATTAACTTTCTGTAGGGTAAATTATAGTAATCGTCAAAAAATTGCCTCTTTTGAAAATACATACTGATATTTTTTGAAAATTTTTAGGTTGAAATTTCCTTAAAGTTTTGATACTCATTCATATAGGTTGATTCAAATAACAAATATTCTGATTTAGACTGCCAAATGGCGTTTTTCTTAACTTTTTTTTCTGGATTTCCGAAACTGCTAGATCTGCCTTTGCAAAAACTTAATCAATTCTTCATTACATCAATACACATGAAAGGTTTTCCAAATAATTCAAATCGCATGCTCACTTCTCTCCTCAAACACTTGGTTGCCATTTTCTGCAGTCTTTGTACCGTATCTCCGAGACGACAGGATCGACTTCTGCCAAAAACTAATCAGCATCTCCTTATCAATAGGAATCGAATGCTTTTTGAATTAGTCAAATCGGTCGAGCGATGCTCCCAGAAACACCGACGAAAATTGTATCCATACATACATTCATACTACACATTCATTTTTCTAAGGTATGCCAAAATGTTCAGAAACCTCTGAAACGTAAATATATTAAAAATTTTCATTTTCCATTATTGGGCGATTACTATAACTTACCCTACGGGAAGTTAATAAAGGACTAAAAATATACCAAATAGTAACATTATTTCATATGTTCTTCTTTACTATAGGGGAAAGTCTCGTAACGCTGGACGGCACCTAGCGCCGAACACTCTATTTAACACGTATTATTTAAGCGAGTATAAATCTTTTCATTTCAAAATACATTTATTCTAATTATTTAATTTAGTTCTGTATGAATGCTAACAGTCACTACATAACCCCATTCTTCGTATTTCCTAATCAAAGAATGAAAGCTTATATGAATATTTTGTTCTGTATGAATGCTAACGGTCACTACATAGCCCCATTATTCGTATTTCCTAATCAAAAAATTAAAAGCTTATATGAATGCTCGAGCTGAAAGCATCCGTGTGGCCCAGACAGAATGGTGGATGAATAGTGATTTTTTTGCAATATCTTCGTCAAACACACATGTGCAGACATTTCAGAGTGTGGAGATGGCTACATATTCTTCTTTTATCTATGGCTACATATGTGTTCAATGCAGGTTAATTTGAAATGTCCGGTACTAGGTTCCACTTTTTAAAATCATATTTTTTGTTACCGAAGTTTGATTGATAGTATTAATTATTTTTTGGCAAAGGTTGCTTTTTTATATATATAGATAACCTTAGGTGCCCGCCACTCGGGAACTTCCCCCTATATAAATATAATAACTAAATGTTAGATAAAAATATATAATGTTCTAATCATAGACCTTATAATAAATACTTAAGTATATTATGTATAATTTGGTATAAGGTCTATGGTTAGCATTAGCTTTTAGAGATTAATTTGAGGATAAGTCTGATAATGAGTGAGTTATACACGTATTACTCATATATTGCCCAACAACATAATAACAAATTTAAAAATATAAACTCTCTGGAATTTTTAGAATGAGAATATTTTCAAAATTTTCAAAAAATTGGAAAAATATCAAACTTATACATTACAACTACTTATATAGATTTCAACTATCAATCTCGTTAATTGAATTTATCCATATAATATTTCCACCAGTTGTATTTTTTGTTTTTTTTTTTAATCTAATGCTAGCAATATATGAATAATCATATATTGTATGAATATGATCAGGAACGACATACGATACCTGGCGCACGGGCGAGTGCACGCGAGCCAGTGGGATACGCACCTCTCTGCGAGCACTCTTTGCGCAGTTGGAGCCGCAGCGGCGTGCCCGGCACGGGTCGGCCGCGACGAGTCTGGATCAGGAGGCCGATGCTGAACTTCGCGATGCCGCTCCTGTTGCCTGAGCAAGGTAAGAGCACGCTAAACTCTGAAAACATTAAAAGATTATCACATTACATTATATACATTATTACATTACGAAAGAGATCAGGAAAAGGATCGCAAGCGCCAAGGCGGCATTCACAAAGAAGTGAACGCTACTGACGAGCAAACTGAATCTTAACTTACGAAAGAGACTAACAAAGTGCTACGTCTGGAGCATAGCTCTGTACGGATCGGAGACATGGACTCTGAGAAAGGCCGATAATAACTACCTCGAGAGTTTTGAAATGTGGTGCTGGAGGCGAATGGAAAAGATAAAGTGGACAGACAAAGTAACAAATGAAGAAGTCTTGAGAAGAGTGGGCGAAGAAAGGACTCTACTGAGCACAATTCTGAGAAGGAAAGGAAAATGGATCGGACCTCTTTTGCAAAAAGAGTGCCTCATACACGACGTCGTCGAGGGTAAAATAGAAGGAACAAAAGGAATGGGAAGGAGAAGAATGCAGACGATTGACGACTTACGCGAGAAGAGAAAATACAGGGAACTGAGAGCCGTAGCACATGATCAAGAAGCATGGAAACAGAAGTTTGGAAAGGAAAATACATGAAATAAAAAATGGGGATAGGAAATAGTGGTAATGGGATGAAGGGCAAGGAAATCATTCGTTGTGATGGCTCTTACACCATGGACCTGTCTGGTTCATCGGGCAGACTACCATTTATTATTATTATTATGGTAATATGGTACGAAAATACGTAAAATACAAAATTAAGTTGTTAAGTTGTAATTTTATTATTATGGTTATGTTATTCCGATAACATAATCATAACAATAAAATTAAAACTATTTATTTAAAAACGGTATAGCTTATAAATATTATAAATTTCTTGAAATTTGAAAACAACTTTTGACTTTTTTTTCCAAAAATTGCAAATCAAATAACCAATGGTCAAAGATTTGAACACATGACGAGTACACAAAATTCTGTTACTTCACCTTGACGAAGATATCCGTCAAACACAGCTAACTGGTGAGATTGCTTATTTTAATAATTCAAACGAAAAGCAAATAGAAGTTTAGATTTACCTCGTCAATTAAGTATTATAATAAATGTAATATATTGTATATAAAACTGTATATATTCTTTAGAATTTTGAATAAATTGATTAACATATTAGTATTGAATAGATTGAATTCAATAACCTATTTTTTAACTGTTTAAACTATACCATTTTTTCTTAAATTACAAAATTTATTTGATTAATTCAAACTATTTCTTTTACCATGAATTACAGAACTAAATATAGTTAAGTGGCTATATATAAACATGTGCAATACAGATGTATAATACATGGTATTGACTAATGAATAAATTGAGCTTCATATTAGTTGTATCGTGTAGGTCGAATTGAAACAAGCACTTTTAAAGGCTTCAACCTTCTTAAGGGTAATTCCAAAAATTAGTTATTTGATAAACTTGCCCTATAAACAAGAAGCAAATAAGAAAGTGAATTATTTACCTTATCATAAATTGAAGAAATTCAAATATTGCAGTATATGAAAAAAGAATCATATTTCACAAATAAATCAAAATATTAAAAGTTAAGTAGAAGTGAGTCTTTTCCCATTGGTTTCATTTCCATTTGTCTTCAGATCACATCAGAGCGTGAAGCGTTGCTTAACCGTTAAACAAATATATGAAATGCCTTGTTGAATGTCAATATTAGCACAAAATGATTACCTTTGGCTTTGCGCGGCACTCGTCCTTTGGTTTTTATAGATATAACGGGCGGTTCCAATATACTCTCGTCCGACGAGTGGAGTCTATCGAAATGGTAATAATACTTCTTCATGCCAGAAACCCAAGTAAAATTTACGTAGCTCACTTCTGAGGGTATTTCGGGTAGATGTTGCTCAAACATTGGTTCCAAAATGTAAGGCTGCACGTTGCCGTTGGCTATCACATCGATTTTTATTGACATACCTGGAAAGGAAGAAAAAATTTTTTTTATCAATTTTAAGCAACATTGATCAATTATATTATATTCTGTTGACTGTAGGACCAGAATCAAGATCACAAAATAAAAATTCTATTAATGTATACTGACCGCTAAACATTTTGACTTGTTCTTTGTCTATCCAGAGGGCGAGGTCTTCATACCCGTTATTACCGGAACTGTCCTGGCGAGATTGAGCCGATGAGCCCTGCCCTCTGGCGGCCAACGCGCACGATGCTACAGAGGCCAGTACTGCGAGCCCGAACAATAACCTAAATGATAGAAATTGACTTTTAGATTAACAAGATCAGGATAATAAATCACAATTTTATGAATTCTTCATCCTAAACTTTCTTTTGAATTCTATTAAATATGAACAAAACAATAAATATATGCAAGAAAGAATAAATGCATAATTTGAATAAATAGTAGCTAATCAGATCATAATTGACACTTTTGTTTGAATCGAGATATAGAAATATATTTCCTACTAATAAATGAATTACATTAAAATGATAACACTAAAAATTGTAAGTACAGACATCCTTTTCGTATTTCTTCATTGTCTTAACCAACTCATGAAACAAGATGGTCTTTAACAAATTGAGCATAATCAGTTCCAAAAAAACTGAAGCAAAGGAGTTTTCAACAATCTACTCTACAAAAATGTCACATTTTTTTTGTTTTTTTTGAACCAATTTTTTTATTGTTGGTCCAGTAAAATCTGTAATACTTGTAGTACAATACATATACAATATGATAATTGTCAAAGTTGGAGCAGATTTATCTTTTATCTTTTATTATAAATATTGCTATGTGATTTTTTTGGGAGGAAAATTTTCCTTTCCTCTTTTTTTGTCACTCAATTATGTCACAACTTTTATATTTCAAATATTAACTATTGTTGTACCATATATGATGGATAATTTTACCTACGGGTAAAAATCCGAACAAAATAGGAAATATTATGTACATATCTATATTTAATGAATATATTTATTTATTATTATTTTTATTATTATTGGAGCAGATTTCATTTATAACATATAGTAAGAGATACTGTGACCATGCAATTATAGGAACCAGGTTTTATTCACGTTTCCTGCTTGATATCAAGCAAAAGTGACCATACTTAACAACAAGGTCCAAATAAGTTTTAATTGAAAATTTCTTTTAGGAACATTACTGTAACATATATATCACTATTAGAAATATCTAATAATAATCTCAGCACAAAGAAGATGGTCAATCACTAGATTGCCAACTTATAATGATCCAGAACATCAGCTTATAGAACATTAATAATAATTCTCATTAAAGTTCAAAAATTTGGAAAAAAGTAAATAAATACCAGAAATAAATAAAAAAATTTGATTTTTTGAACCAAAAGTAATCAGAACTTACTAGTCCTATAAACTGTAGAGATGAGAACATTTAACTATGTCGCTTTTTCAAAAGGTAACCCCACGGTTGTCCTAGCTCTATTTGATCAATTTATTATTACAATTTCTGTAATACTGATGATTTTTTAATTGATGCAGCAATGCGTAATAATGGCTATTTTTACCAGGAAACATATTGCAATCTATATTTCCAAGTAAACACCGATGTCACTACTGCTTGACCAAAGCGGGTTTTGAACATGGATTTTCTGATTATTTATTACAACAAATATTTCGACCTATTTTATCTCATAATTACCAACGTAATTCCCAGGAATGATCTTTTTTATTTTAAAATACATCTTTAACAAGGACAGTAAAAAAAATGTTTGTAGTAAATTAAATATAAAGGAATTTTATAGTATTTATTTTCCTCAATTATCTCCATAGTAATTCGCCAGAAATAATTCTTATTACTCCAGAAATAATCCTTAATAAGGACAGCAGACGAAAGTATTTATTTATCTTAGTAGTTAATTAATTGTGAAGAAATTTTACATTACATAAAATAAGATTTATATCATTATTTCAATTACCTAATAATTCGCCAAAAATAATCTTTATTACTCCAGATATAATCCTTAGTAAAGACAGCAGAAGGAAATTGTTCTCGCCTTAGTAGTAAGCTAATTGCATTAAAATGTTATAATTTACTTAAAAATAGATTTACCTTATTATTTTAAACCAATGTTTCGACTTATTTATCCGTAATCTCGACAGACCTAATAATTCGCCATAAATAATCTTTATTACTCTAGGTACTCTAGGATAAATGAAAACAATAAATTATTTATCCTTCTTAGTAGTAATAATTATAAAGAAATTTTATAATTCAAAGAGATTATTTTTATTATTTAAAACAAATGTTTCGACCTATTTTTTCCTAACGTTTCTCTTCAACTCCAAATAGTCATTTATATAAATAATCGGCTGTAGGGGCGGAACTGCTGTTGAAAAAAAAATTACAAGAAATCTTCACTAAATACGCTGAGATAAATGATATGTCAACAAATGTCATCGACAAGCTAACCAGAAAAAAAGGAAGATGGAACGAGAATGAACAATTTTCGAACCCATGCTTTCTTATTATAATTTTGAACAATTAAAATTCTCCTGTTCGGGTGATGTGTATGCTTTTTTTCCAATATTTTCGATTTTTTATGAGGCTGGCTCGTGTAGCGTGCTTATCTCCATTTCTCACAATATCTATTAAAGTGTCAAAAAGCGTCTCTGTCTGAGGCAGGTGAGTCCGCATCGCGCCCTCGCTCTCGCACCTTGATCTTCACGAGAGAATTGCCGGGCGTAATGCACAGGTGTAAAGGGTAGGAAATGTATACCTGGGCTGTTAGCAAACAGAGGCGCATTCGGCGAATTTGGAGCAACAAATCATGAATTTTGCATCTGAATAATTGACTTCAAATCAAAGAATTTTGCAGTACATTCCGTTTGTATTACATATTAAATCAATGTGTCAATCATAATTAATATAAGTAATTATGGTAATAAAAATTTAATTACTCTCTAATTTAAATGTCGCACATACGGATAGTTCAAGTTGAACTATACATCACTCATAGATATCAATATTATAATACTAAACTTCAACTTATAAACACGAAAAAATTAAGTCGATTATTTAAGAGTATCGGGAAGTTCATTCAACTTTCCTTAAGACAAACTGGCACTTACACCTTGTTTCGTTTTCAAACAGTAACATAAACTTATGGACCGATTCAGCCGCACAACAGACCAATGTTATGGAAAGGCTATGTTATGAAGAACCTTTCATACAAATTCGTTCTAAATATTGAACAAAACCATGTGGTGGCTATGCAGTCAAGCATTTTTCGCATTGTCAGGTTGTCAGATAGAAAACCTAACCTAGAAACCGCACAAATGTCAAAAAAACGATCTTAGATAACAGGGTCTTTCTGACCTAGCTTCATAACATCAAGACTCAAAATTAAATTAGTTTAGCACTCCTTTATTTGTATTTCTATATTTGGTTGTTCTGTTATTTAATTGTAAATTTGTATATCTAATACATCTACATCTAATACATCTAATACATCTAACATACAAGTGACGTCGTAGTTTATGTGTAAAAAACATGACAATGCAAATGCATGGCATTTTGACAGTATTCAGTATGATATAGTAGGATGATGTATGGAAATTGGAGCTTAACATGGCCTTGCCATAACATTGGTCTGTTGCGAGGCACAATCGGCCCATTATGGTTATTGTGATGGTATTTTTTCTTCTAAGATGTTTTTACAAAACAAGTCAATGGTTCATATAGCTTATTAGAGGTTGATATATTTTTTATTACAACTCAGTGGTCATATCAGTTACGGAACAGGCAACAAAAAATGAAGTATTAATAGAATATATTCATAATTATAATTCGAATAACTATAAGCAATTTAAAACTATGTTCTGTGAACATATGTTTACTAGACACAATTTTAATACTAACCATCTGATCATTCATTATAATAAAAAATATTTGACCTTAAAAAATTTGGAGAATCTGTATTCATTTTTTTTAATTCGAAACCAGCCATGAATGTGAGATGATAAACTAGCAATGGGCTCGGCCAGCTCGGTATCAAGCGGTATTATAAAGATCACAGATCTCAAATATGATATCAAGTGAAAATAGACTTTTCGGATTATTAAGCCAACAGATATACACTAACACTATTAGATGTATTTCTAATATGATTGCAATACATAGGGGAATGGTTAACCGATGGGTTTGCCTCTCGTGGAACATTAGTCTTTAACAAACAGAGCTCATAGGACAAGCAGTTCTGAGTAGTTTAAATTGATTGATTTTACTTGTGAAATTAAAAAAAGTTTTTCTTTTTTTTGCTTTTCGATGTATTTGAAAATATAAATTGAAATACATTTTTGTAAAACTTGGAATGGGTACCTTTTCAAATCAAATAATGTGTGTAATTTGATCATGCAAACCAACAAATATCATTTAAAACTATTAAATACAAGACAACACTCTAATGCACATCTAAGTATATAAAATATTCGCATACAAAACATTTCCTCCTAAAGCAAAGTACATATCTGAAGTACAGGCAAAATAATCTTTACAGAAAGTCCCAAAATAAGATGGTAACAATAAGAATTAACAAGCCATAACAAATCAATGACATGGGTACATTATTTGGTAACCTGTCTTCTATTGTACTAAATATGTTACGGCTACTGTCCAATTTAACAACGTCCTCTTATTCAATTTCCATCCCTTAATTCATACAAAAGTAAGACCATAATTTTAGGAGAGTTGACAAGTGCCTCATGTCTGGTGTAGTATCATCCCTTAATTTGACCAGAGTAAGAATAATATTGTGTTGCAAAATAAGATAGTAATATAAGTATAAAAATATTTAATTACGAGTATAATGTAAAATAATTATAGTTTTGTAATTAATGCCCATCAAGATGTCTAACTTGTAGACATGAATATGAAACATTTAACTTAAGAAATACATTTTCTTATGTCTTTTAATACATTACTTAATTGCGGACAATGATTAATTATAATAGTTGAAATCCGGTTGTCTATTCCGACTTAATTTCATCTAATATTTAATCAGATCAAATTGTTTGTGATAGACACAGCTATAAAACGACGCCAGAAAAGCTATAAATTTGCGACTCATGCAAATTAATATAAATATACACTTACATATTGGTCAGATAAGAGGAAATGATGCAATATAATTAATTACTATTATAAACAGAGATGGTGTTAAAATCATACTATTTGAATTGGTAATATATTTATAATGTGTCTGACGATACTA